AATCACTGTCAACTTTAAATTAAAAAAAAAGTATTATTAGTCTCCAAGCCCAGATGTCAGCCAGGGCTCTCTTAGACCACAGGCGAAGATAGAGGGGAAAAATGTAACTCAGGCAGCAAATGGGGACTTGCAGCTTAACAGACCAGGCTTTTACAAGCCTAGGCAGAATTTTATCATCTTATGCACTTGCCAGTATTTTAGGCACAGGGGATGTGAGCCAAAAGAAAGAAATCTTCCCAATCATCCACTTGTGTTTTGAATTTGTACAAGTGAACTCAGCTAAGTGCCCAATGTGATATAGAACCAGACAATAACCAGAAGGAAAAGGGCAGTAGTTCCAACCATTAGTAATCTACTCCCACGTTTTAGGGACCCTTGTGAGAGCTGAACTGGGGAAAAGGGTTGTGTAACTATGTCAATAAATAGAGATAAAGGAGACTTGGAACAGACTCGGGTTCAAGGGAATTGTCATCCCTTTGAGGTTGTCCGGACAAGCGGGGGGGGGGGGAATCTTGGCGGGAGTACCTCTGTTTCTCAAAGGAGGCAGTAAATTCCAGAGAAAAACCCCAAATAAATGACTGTTCTGAATACTTCCTGAATAAGCCCCAAACTGGATGAGGGAGGGAGAGAGGGAGGAAGGGAAGAAGAAGTTCAGGTGGCTACATCCTGGAATCTCTCAGAGTATGGGTAGTCCTCAACTTATGACCATTATTGAGTTGTAAGTTGTTATGGTTGTAAGTCAAGGCATCATATGACTAGATCCAATTTTTTATTATGCAAACAGTGTTATCTATGAGCAAATCCATTCTACCCAATGGGTGTTATTTTGCAAAAAAACAGAAGTAAATGTTCAAAACTGGCAAAAATATCAAAAATCATGGTCACATAATGTTGTAAGAGCTGTTTGCCAAGCACCCAAAACATTATCACATGGACTGTGGGGTTCGGCATCGTCGTAAAACCCATGATGATCTATCAAGTTCAAACTGGTCTATTTGGGCTGCTTACGCTACACAGCGTCAGCACCTGAAGGACAAAGTTTGTTAAGATGGTAATCTCAACCACATAATTGAAGCTTTGCCCATTTTTTTTACATAAGAAAAGGGCAGGACTTCAATTAGGCAGTCACAGCTGCCATCTTGACTTTTTTGCTGTCCACCCTCAAAGATTCCACTAGGGTCATGGTAAGAATGAGGCCAATTTGCCAAGAAGAGTTTGAGAATCCCTTCCACACTATTCCACTCAAGCCAGAGGGTTTCAAGGGAATGAGCTATGAATTAGCTACCTGATGAGTGAGCTGCTCCAGAAGTAAATAACTGCACAAACCACCCTGGGAGCTAAACTTGAAGAAGTGTTATTCCTAAGGAAGTATTGAGTTGCACAGCCAAGGGTCAGGTTATCGAATGCAATGAAGTCACCGCCTTGTCGCCAGCGAGATGACTTTCTCCTTTAAAAGAAAAAGAGAGAAATTGTACTGGAAACGCGGGTGCCAGTAGGCCAGGAAGTGTGTAGCCCACCCACTCACAGGCTAAATCAGCAGCCAATCCAGCATTCTGCTCCCTGAACCAGATAATTGGGGGGGGGGGGGGAGAGAGAGAGAGAGAGAGAGAGTTGGGTGGGATACTGTTTCATATTTCACTTTCTATCCTAACAAAAAACAGAACACAGGCGGGGACTGGAGAAAAGGAGCGGCTGCTACACACAATGAAAACCTGTCAGTCTTATTAAGTTAAGGGCAACAGAAAGGAAATTAATTTAAATACAGTCAGCCACTAGGGGATACTGTTGCTCTATCAATTTTTATATTAGCAATTGCTTTATTAAGAAAGGGAAACTGCTCTGAGTGTCCTTTTGGGTACCCTCTTTCTAGGTTTTCAGCAGAAAACTTTTACCACTTTTGATGCAATCACGGTTTTACTTTTCCTGCAATTTCTTTACCTCCAATCCTTGCATTGTAGAGAGTAATCTGGACAACATTTTTGAAGAAATCAGAATCTGCAGCATTCACACTGCAGACCAAGAATATTGTGTTTCCAAGAAAGAATCCATTCAGTTAAATATTCACTTGAGAAGAAACAGCATGCTCTCTGAGCCAGTTCTATTTACACTTACAAGTAAAATAAAACATAGATTTTATTTAAAGAAAAAAAAAATTTGTTTGAGAGTGAAAGAATAATCTTCCTAAATGACATTTATTTTTATATTCAGTAGATTTATAAGGCTGCCCAATTCAGTGTAACTCTAGGGTGGTGTGCAACAACAAAAAGCAAACAATAAATCGAAAGAGAGTAACATGATGTAAAAACATACACAATATATAAATATGAATATGAAAGCAAAGCCAATTTTGTTTGCTCTCTGATTTGTTTGCTCTCTGATTGCCTTGCTGCAAGCATCTCACAGTTTGATAAAGTAGAACTGATATAATCAGTATATATACTGATATATCTATAGATACTGTATATATAGATCTTTCTAGAAGAGTGCTGCCTTTTACTACATTTGTCCAAAGGTTGTTCTTAGTTTCTGAGCAGTAAATAAATCTACCATCTCATTTTTTTTTGTTTTCTGCCCTGACAAGACTTGCGGTTAAAGGTTAAGATGATAACTATAACTATTTACAAAGTCTGCACTATTACTATTAATCTTCTCATGCCCTCCTTATCACCCATCCCCTCCCACTTGTGACCATATGACTGTAACTTTGTTGCTTGTATCCTTATGATTTATATTGACTATTTCCTAATATGATTTGATTGCTTATTGTACCCTATGACTATCATTAAGTGTTGCATCTTATGATTCTTGACTCTTGATGAATGTATCTTTTATGTACACTGAGAGCATTTGCACCAAGACAAATTCCTTGTGTGTCCAATCACTTGGCCAATAAAGAATTCTGTAAAGAATTCTATAATCCTATAGATACTTTTTCAATGATTTACTGTTTTATCATTTTACTGTTTTATGACTGAAATCATTGTGTAAATTGTCCACAGAAATGCAATTATTGTTGAGTGGATTAACTATTTCTTAGTAACAGCAATAAGAGTTGTGTTCTTCCTCTCCGTAAGGTACCTTATAGAGGGTGGACCAACTTTCAGAACTCAAAAAGATGCAATCAGACTCTCTTAATTATACTTACATAGCCCTGTTGTCATCTCCTTAATTCCTTTTTGGTACTTTTTGGACTCGGAAATGATTTTTTTTTTTAGATTGCATGACTCCATTTCTTTATGAAGATGCTCAGTATGAACGTGAAGCATCTTTCTCACTTCAGACCCCAGTAGTTACATATCCCTATAACATTCTGCTTAATTTTCAATAATTCTATCCAATAGCAATAGCAATAGCACTTAGACTTATATACTGCTTCACAGTGCTTTATGGCCCTAAGCGGTTTTATATTTATAATTTTTGAACTGTCAAATTAGTTCTAATTTTATAAATAAACAAACTGCCTAGTCACCTCTAGGTCTATTGTTAATTTACCAACAAGAGTATTAGCAGGGAAGGTTGGGCCCAAGGCAAACCTTTGTGATCATCACCTCTCTCCCCCCAGCTGAACAAGAATTATTAATTAAACATATGCAGTAACATTTAAGAGCGCAGGTTTGTTCTGGTGTATAAACCAACCAACTCTTAGAAAAGACTTGCTTTCTTCCGTTATTGTGGGTTAATATAAGACCAGTCAATCCTGTAAAATATTTCCTCTAAGCTAAACAATTCTAGCCATTGTTTTTTAAGTTTTCCCAAGCCTTCCTTTCTTTTGGGTTGCTTTTTCTGCACCTTTTCCAGCTCCACAATATCCCTCTTGAGATGTGATGTGACAATCAGAATTGTGCATTGTATTCTAGATGTGGCCAAGCAAGTTTATTGTGAGACATTAAAATATCATGTAGGTGATTTTATGAAACTAATTAGGTACCACAACATTCTTCATTAGCCACACCAATTAAATCCCTATCATTTTATAAGCAAAACCTGAATTCCTAGCTAGCACTAAATTGTGGTCCAATGACCAAGACTTTGGATCATAGTCCATATATATCCTCACCTTCTTACATAACGTGTGTCCTTTTAACCACCATAGAAGCCAGACACTTATTCAGCTGAATAATTTGAATAACACTAAGTCAAAGCAGATACTCAAAGCAGGCTTTGTTTCTTATCTTCCTTCACTAATTGTGTATTTATTCTTATTATTTTCAGTTCTTTGCCAAACTTTAACCCATCAGAGGACTCCCTCTGGATTGTCATGCTTAGTTCACCCAAAAATCTTCAGTGAGGAACCTTTTAAAAAGGTTTTTCTTTTTTATTAACTTCTGATTAAAAAAAAACAACAGGAAACTTGAGCACTGTTTTGAAAAATGGATTTGGATTTGGGAATAGGAAGAAAATATATTTCTTTGAGCACACTATCCCACTGAATTCAATTTGCAAAGCCTTCTGGCAACTTTTTCCACGGGCTTTCATGGATCACAGGTTGCTTTAGCAAAAGCAGGGATAAAGGCATGAAAAAAGGGGAAAAATAAAGAAAATGTTGTCTTAGGAGTGTATTCCTTGCAACTAGTGCAGTGTGATTGTGATTTAGGAAAGCATGTTGCCAGAATATACTGTTGCCATTAAACCAAAGTCTTAACAGCTTTAAAAAAAAAACGATCCGTAAGAGAAGCAAACAGTTTAATTACAGATGAAGATAAACTCTCCACCGCCCCGCCCTGAGACCGGCAAACAGAGACTATCAGGGCAACTCTCCTTCTCCTGCCCATAGCAACCGCGCTTAGCAACACGCGCGTGGCTGGATTGGGCGGAGCGGTCTGGATTTCGAACGTCGGGTCGGCTTTCTATGCAAGGCCGGGGCTGTATGGCCTAGTCCGAAAGTGATGCTAAAAGTAAAACTCCTTTTCGTAGGTCCCAGTGAGGTGAGTGTGCTTCCAAGACCTTCTCAAAGAAAGGAAACCTCTCTCAGTCTTGTCTCTCGACTCCTCGTCCTTTTCCGAAATCGGACGGGAAAGGCCGCGAGACAAACCGGAGTTACAGCCTATTGACTCCCCCGAAGATCGCAGGTGAGGAAGGACAGAGTTCTGTTGTCTTCACTTGCCTCGGTGGACTCCCAAAGGCATCGGGTTGCCTAAGGGTGAGAAAGAAGATGCTGAAAAGCTGGGTGCGAGTTTGCATAATAAAGCAATTGCGTTTTCTATTCCTACTGATAACGGCCATTAAAACAGCACTGTAGAACCTTCATGTTAAGAAACAGTCTATCTTTAAGAGATCCTTTCCTTAGTATTCTGCTGAGTCTTTTGTTTTTCTAGTCTGATCCAGCAGGTTTCTTCTTATTACAGGTAGTCCTTGACTTACAATCCATTCCTTTAGTGACAGTTCAAAGTGACAATGGTACTAAAACAAAGTGACTCATGACAGTTTTTCACACTTACAGTTGTTGCATCAATGGTCTTGAGTTCAAGATTCAGATGCTTGGCAACTGGCTCATATTTATGATGGTTGCAGTGTCCTGGGGTCATGGGATCACCTTTTGCATCCTTCTGACAAGCAAAGTTAATGGGGAAGCCATATTTACTTAACAATAGTGTTACTAACTTAACTGCAGTGATTGTTTAACAACTGTGGCAAGCAAGTTTAAAGAAATGGGGCAAATTCACTTAACAACGGACATTTTGGACTCAATTGTGGTTGTAAGTTGAAGACTACCTGCCAAAGAAAATGTATTTTCAAGATGCCTAATCATTGCCAATTTGGGTTGAGGCAGATGGGAATTGGAGTCCAAAATATCGTCTCTCACCTTGAATGGGAAAAACAGTGTCAGAATGTTCCTTGAAACTAATCCCAGTCTTGTGCATTCATTTATGCATCGCATTTCTAAACTATTTAAAAATATATCAACCACAGTGGGGAAGAATTCCAGGTGGCATCTTCTTTAAGCTTCAACCAGTATTAAAAATACCTGTTGCAAACTTGTCAGAGCAGCCATGAAAAGATATAGTTTTGTTGGGTGCATGATCAAAGTACTTTTGTTGTAATTTAATTTCTGCTAATGCTTCGGTAATTGTGTTTCTGAATTTGTTTGTGATAGGCTGGAAAATCTGTCTTGGCAAACTTCTTGTCAGAGACCACTGAAAGTATTGGCAGTTACATCCCCACACAAGGAGTAAGGTGAGGAGAAATAGACTTATTTGCTGTGCATCTGATTACACAAACAAGCTTTAAAATGTCTGAAACCATTCAATGAAATCATTCTTAGTAATTTCTCACTGTCTGAAAACAGTACTAGATCATACTGATTTACAGGCAGTCCTTGACTTATAACACAATTGGGACCAGAATTTCTAAACAAGGTAGTTATTAAATCACTTTTTTCAGTGTCACTGTAACTTTGAACAGTGCCTAAATGAATAGTTGTAAGTCGAGCACTACTTGTGCTAAATTACTTCTTCAATAATGAAACTTGACATTTAGTACATACCCCGTCTAATATATGTGGATCACTGCAGAAATGAATGTGATTATCTTGCTTATAAATAACTCTCCCCAAGATTACTATCCTATAGAAAGATTTGCTAAATGTGTGGCTCAGGTGAGATAGTTGCATTTTTCTGCTGAGGACAGAAGAAGGACTTTGCATTCTCTGGTGTTTGATTTGTTAATCTCAGGATACAGGGAATGGTCTAGTCTTCAATTGCCCTTTTCATGCAAATTCCATACAATACATTTGTCTGCATGCAGCTCTTAACTGACAGGCTAATGCATAAATCCAAGACTATGACTGCCTCTTTCTATTGAAACTAGAGATAGTAGTAGCTTATATTAGCCAATGGGCAGAGAAAATTGAATGTCTGAGAGAGTTCTGAGAGAGTCTGAGAGAGTTCTAATTAGATTTTGATTGGAAAGAAGAGAAATTAACCATGGCAAGTAATATGATACAGTACAGTTCATCTGAAAAATATTCTGGCAGTATACAAATCAGGGTTCCTCTTTCTCTAACATGCCTGCTTTATTTACTCAAACGTATCTATTTTTAAATTTTAGGATTTTAGAATATGAGAAGCCACATTTCAATGGAAACAACAAAGGACCAGGATGTCGGTTTGAACTATGGGATTGTGGAGGTGATCAAAAGTGAGCAAGTTTTTTATATATCTTGCCAGCTTTCTCAGTGTAGATCCATTCACAACCTGTACTTCTTGGTGTGATACATTGATTAAAAAACCAGCTTTTTAATTCACATAGAAAGCCTCCACAGATAAAGAGGCACCTTGTTGCAGACAAGTAGTTTGGTGGGTATTTGCATTATGACAGTGTCATAAACTGATGTACATTAGATTCTGAAAGGGTTCAAGGCTCAAGGCATATACTGTTTTTGTATTTATTATTGCAATTATGGTATGCTGCTTATTTGAGGGGAATTTAAAATGTTATACATAACAATTTATCTTCCATCATTCAAGCTACAACCACCCTGTGAGTTTTGTTGGACTGTAAGAGAAATGAGATATGCACATCTGTAGCCGTATAAGAATTTCACATTTCACATTAAGGCTTAATTCAATTATTTGGCTTGTTGATTTCATCTTATACAATATGCCAATGTTTCTCAACTTCATCAACTTTACGATATGTGGACTTTAACTCCCCAAATTCCCCAGGCACCAATTATGGGAGTTGAAGTCCACTCATCTTAAAATTGCTAAAGCTGGGAAATACTGTGTTATATGAACCCAACTGCTGTGATTAGCAAACTATGCTTGACGTTTTACATTAATATTTATACTTCGATAATGATGGGCTGCATATTAAGTAGTTGAAAAACTGTGGCTTGAAGCAGTGTGAAACCAGTTATTATCTGCAGCTGGGTTGCATAATTTCTATCAAACAAGTGTTTCCAGCCACATTCTTTTTCTTTTGCATTTCTAGGTTTGAGACTTGCTGGCCTGCTCTGATGAAAGATTCCCATGGTGTTGTCATTATTTTTAATCCAGACTTGCCAAGCCATGTGAAGGAAATTGAAATGTGGTACTCCTGTTTTGTCCAACAGCAGCAGTTGCTTGAGAATCAGTGCTTGCTCATTGCACATCACAAGCCAGGCACTGCAGATGTAGAGAATCTCACATTGCGTAAGACCATAACCTTTATTTCCCCATTTTGTGTAATCTTTGTCAAATTACAAACCTGATTCAGTTTTCTCTCTTCAACTTCGAAGCTTCACCATTGAACAGGCTGACATTGATACACTCCAGCCTTGAAGAAGACCCTGAAGATGTCCGAATGGAATTTGTGAAGTTCCTGAAGAATATTACTAATTTGGTAAATGAGAACCGGGACAGAGAGGAGATGCTGATTATTAATTAGTAATATGATAAACATTGGAGAAATAAATGGCTATTATTTATAAATAACTTTAAGTTTCCATTAGGCCTTTCTTAATGATTACAAATTCATTTTTCTTCCAAATGTGAGAATAACTGTATTGACTTGGAGTTGTGTAACAAGGGAATCAGCATTCACTGTGCGGTACACAATGAAAAATACATAGCTATGGATCCCATATACAGGTAGTCCTCAACTTACATCAGTTTATTTAGTGACCATTCAAACGTACAATGACACTTTAAAAAGTGACGTGACCATTTTTCACACTTATGACCATTGCAGCATTGTCATGAAGTGATCAAAATTTAAATGCTTGACAACTGACTTATGACAGTGGCAGTGTCCCAGGGTCATGTGATCTCTTTTTCCAACCTTCTGACAAGCAAGTCAGTGGGGAAGCCAGATTCACTTAACATCCGTGTTACTAATTTAACAACTGCAGCGATTCACTTAACAGCTGTGGCAAGAAAGGTCGTAAAATGGAGCAAAACTCAACTCAATTGTCCTGCAGCGAGTTGTCCCGTGGCAAATTGACTGTGACAAGTTGGCTGTGGCAAGTTGTCCCATTCTGGTTTTGGACACAGTCTCCATAGAGGCAGATGTCTCTGTTGACACTATTACAATTAAGTTCTGAGTCCATTGTTCAAAAATATTCTTCAGTATATCCAATGTTATAATATTTGGCTTCATTCTGTAATTGTAAATTGAGTTTATGTTCTTCTTTCATTGCTGTCTTCTTTACATCACATCTGTTGGCATTCATTGGTCCACTGACTAAACCATGCTGCATTTCTGAAAAGTATCACTCTCCAATCTAATCAGCCAGTTGCATGCTACAACCACTTATTTAAAAATGGACAAAGTCAGCTCTAATCTTTGGAATCATCTTTGCTTTTTTTCATCCATTTGGTAAAGCAGTTGGTTCTTTAGCTGCAAGAATGAGATCAGAGAGCTGATTAACATTGTTTGCTTGCTTATATTTGAATCCTTTGCCTACCAGTAGTTGATCAGAAGCTTCAATATGTTTGACATTATCAGCAATAGCAGGAAAATTGGTGAAATTATTAACTAACTGAGGCCAAAGTGTCTTCCATGCAACATTAAATGTGCTTTGGTTTATTTCTTCCAAGGATTCTTTAATGATAAACAATGCATGAGCAGTCATATATCATTTTCAAGTATCTCAAACAAAGTCTTAGCTACTTGGAATTGATGGGTGACAGTGGCCCTGGTTTAGATTTTTCGTGAGTGGCCATTCTCTCTATGCCGGATCTGGAAGGGTTTTTTAGTTTATAGAGGACTCCTGGCAGATGAAGTTGCAGAAGAAACATCTATAGTACTAGAGAAAGACAAAAGGTCTGACATAGGTAAAAGTCCACATGAAAGATTACATCATGCTGATAAGAGTAGAAAAATGAAATTATTCTACAGAGATGTGTAACTTGACCTGGACCTTATTAGAGAGGAAACAGCTATGAGGATTCTAACAGAGGAATAAAAACACTTGGATCTTCTCTTTTGGGGAAATTCAGATGCAGCAATTATTCAATTTGGCGATATCTATTTGATTTTCTGAAAGGCATATGGAACAAATATTTTTTCTCCTTTTTAAAACAGAAAGATCTTAAAAGTAGTGTTTATACAACAAGTTTTGTTTTGGTAACAAGACGCCAAAGATTCCAATACCATTGTGCACAAAATGCAACACCAATTTTGCACCCAATCCAACCGTATAATACCGCTTTTACTCAGAGGTGATTCCAACTCCTCCCACCTTTGAAATGAAAGTTTAATAAGAGGTTTGGTGCATCAAAAATGACTAACCAAACATTATTATCTAAGTATGAAAAATAACATAAGCACAAGACAGTGCGGTTGGGTTTATGGATCAAGCTCAATTATCAAGTATTCATTAAGTTTGGCTTGTGTTCTTTGACCTAGCTAGTCTGGTTTTTGCAAATATCTTTTGTAGCCATTAGTTAATATGAATAAAGTCAATGATACTTTATTGAACAAATAAACTAAACTCCGAACAAATCCTAGATAGCATGATATTTGAATCCAACCTATGATGTATTCACACACTATATTAAGTCAATTAAACTGGATATTTACTGCTTTACTTACTTTTTAATTTACAGAAACTGAAATTAAAACTTGCAATAAGTCATTTTGTGAGACTCCAGGGTACACTCTAGATAGGCATGTGCGAACCCATTTGAGATTCTTTACCAGTTCAGTTTTTGATCTGCAGTTAGGCTAAATATTTTTTTAATAAGCCTGGAAGAAAACAATTCATTGTTTGTTAAGTATGGGAATGCAAGTTCTGTTTCTACTGTTCCTACAACATATAGGAATGTTTCAATTCTATGTGTCCTTACTGCAAAGGGACAAATTTCAAAACTATTCTTGCCAAACTGCAATCAGTAGATTCTTTCCAAAGTGGGCAGTTCTCTTATGCCTGTGCAGTATTGGGAAAGAGAAGGAATTTTCCATTTCCATTCACTGCCATTTCAGAATAGCCACTAGCTGGAAAAAGACAAGTCCAGAGAAGTAAATCACAGAGATAAGGACAGATTCTTTTTTTAATCTATGTACAATTGAACATAGCTTTTTTTGTTTTAGCTTTGATTAATTTCTCATGGTGTGCCAGCAGATTTTGCTAACATGGGAATATCATCACAAATGCTTCTCTAACCTAACCTAAAGTTTGTGTACCCTTAATTTTCAATAATTAGTTTCTATCAGTATTTTTTGTAGGAAGGAACAAAATTTGCAGGTTCATGAAATATGAGTCTTTGGTGATCACTTCTTACAGAGGAATGAAAGAGTGCTTTCAGACTCTTAATATGTGTAGCTTTCACATGAAATCATGAGTTTTGAATCTATTTCAACTTATAGTCAATGCAAGGAACATTAACTACTAGTACAATTGTTTTCAGCATTTGGGGAGGTGTTTCATCTGCTTTCCATTTATTCAGAACATGCACCCACATGGAACCTTTTAGAACGAGGAAGGAAATTACAAACCCTCTAAATGTTTTTTGCAAAGATTTTCAATCACAAAAAATACCTGGGAGGCAGGATAGGTTAAGATAATTTATGATTGCAAGCAAACTATTGTTTCGGGATGAAAACCAAATTTATAGAGCTGTTGCTGGAATGATCCTTGGCAGTTTAAAATGTATACACCAGTCTCTCATGAAAATCCTGGGGCTTACCTAAGTTTCCACAACAAAATGGCATTAATAAGAAAGATGCTAATAAATATGTCTTTGGTTAGCAATGTACATGCATCATTTTTATTTCTGATTAAAATTACAGTAGGGGATAAAAAAGAGCTGACATTGTTTTTGGGCATTTATGGGATACAGTTCCAAAGTTGTAAATTGACAGACTTGATTTATTCAAGTCTTTGTTGAAAAGTTGCACAGAACAATCCCTGGGGAATCTGGAATTACCAACAAAACACAACAAAACTATGCCCAAGTTCACATTTAAAAAACAGGCTTGCCAGGTTAACATTCAGATATGGGAGACCCTAAAGGTCTGATATAATCCCTTTGACTGAATTAGGAATGGAAAAAACAAAACAAACGGAATTTAGTTTTGTTCCTTGTAGAAATGCAGATGAAATTCTCATAATTTGTAGAAGAGATCTATGTTCATATAATACACTGAACTACAAGCTAGCCAAATACATTTTATGTTGCATATTGAGATAAACTAGCTTATATCTTTACAAGCTAATAATTCAGTGTGTTATGTAAACTCTGAAATTGATTTTTTTTCTTAAACTATGGTTAACAACTGAGGTTAGAATATTCATAGATGTTAGCTCTAGATTTCAGGCATGGTAGGTACAAGAAGGAGAAACCGCATGTGTGAAGGACCCTTGCCTAGCAAGTCAAGTACTGTATTGTGATTAAAAACAATAACACTAATCTTCGGAATGAATGAAACGTGGAATATGGAATGTGGAAGCTGATTGGAACCAGAAGAACACTGATTGACATAAAAAAAAATTGCTAAGGAGCACAAGACATAATGCTTCCTCCTTTCAGATCTTACTAAGGTAAGTAACCTACGTAACTATTATAGCCAGGCTTGAATACAGATTGGTTCGGTATAGCCCCACTACTTTCTCCCAAGCCTCTTCAAAAAAAGATGGGTGTATATAAGATGAAATTTGTTTTTTCCATGGGATCCAGGCCAGGTTTCTTGAGGAGTGGCTGGGATGCCCTCTTCCTTCAGAGAAGCACTGACTACAACCTGGATCCAGCTTCTAATCTCTTCCCAGGTGGAGCAGGGATCCAATGCACATGTGGCAGAGCTACACTATAGAGAACTTGGTCCCCTTCATTGAGATCTACAGCTAAAAAAATCTTCAACGATGTCTGTTATCTCAATAGAGTCCATCTATATAGTTTCCAACTTGGAACAGATAAAATCTGTTTGATCAAGACTGTAATAGCTGTCATATGTTTCTTCCTCTGACCAATCCTAATATAAAAGATCTGAGTCACCTTAAATAATGCAATTGGCCAACATTTTGCCAATGGAGTAAAAGTATGGAAGTGATTCTCACCACCTCTTTATCACTTACATAATAGGACCAAACTTCAATTCATACCAATGTCTAGGCAAATTCACTATTTGAAGATCATATTTTAAACTGTTCTCCAAACACATTCCTCCATATCCTATTTTACAGAAATAGTCTTTCACTTGAGATCTCAGGGGTGTAGACAGCCCTCAAAAAATCCTGGATAACGTCCATAAAACCACTTCAGGCATTGCCATCTAAATCATAATTTTAATAAGCTAGGAGGAGAAAATAAGTAAATACATATGGAGCGGATATATTCATGGTATTGTATTAAAATAAAAATTACACTAAATTATTCTTTCCTCTTGGCACAACAGTGCATGTAATAAGAAGAGGGCTTATCTGCTGTTAGAAATCACTTGGGATTATTCCTCAAAAACATAAATCTTCCATACCAAATTTGCAGAATAAGGTACTGTTGTTATAAATAATGCAACGGATTATGCATGCAAGCCAACTATTCATAATCTTTTGGCTTCTAAAACAGAACAACAATAGCATTTCTGTGTTGGTAATACAGTTCTAATTACTGTGACATCTGCAAGCAGAGAAAACAGATAAGGTGCTCTTCAAGTATCTATATTTTCCAATTTATAATTAGACTTCTATTGTATTTAAGAACATGATGTTCAACCTTACTGAATCCCAATCACATTTTCTTACATTTCTCTCTCTTTCATCCTTGTAATGGGAGGCATGCTTAACCATCAAGACAAAATAAAGAATTGACTAGACAGGATACCAATATTTCAGGGTTGCCTTCCTTAACTATACAACCACAAACATCTTTACCTAAGCATTTGTGCAAGGCAGTTTGGTATGACGTGTTCAGATTTGCTGCTGCTAAACTCTGATATATACTTGTCTGTGGTAACTTCATTGAACACAATTAATGATGCTGCCTGGACTGTTTTGACCGTGGGGCCTCAACTGCACCTCTAAAATTTGGGGGCAAACCATCAAGGCTAGCCTGATTTTCCATGGTTTCAGAAGAACAAGACAAATATAAGGGGTTCTCAGTTTAACATATTTTAAGTCCCACCATTTACTCAGTTTAAAGAAATTGGTTCTCATCATAATAGGAAAATATCCATGTAGGCCAGCAATAGATTTACAGGCATTCTATTATTGTACTTATTATTTTTGAAGGGTGTTAAATCATGAAAACACTGAATTGTAGAGTAGAAATGAATCACAAGGATCATCTAGTCCAGTTTCTGCAGTGTGCAGGAATATCAAACTGTCCTTTTGGCTCTTCTTCCAAAACTTCGGAGGCAGAGTATCCATAATCTCTGTACTTAGGTAGGCTGTTTCACTGTTCTACAGAATTTATTTTAATTAACTTTTTGACAACTTATCTAGATCCCACATTGTTTGCTTATTTATTCCTTGTGTTCCAACTCCAACTGAGATTTCTGATTGCCATCTGCGATAAATTTACAATCGCATTCACTTTTTCTTAGTTAACCCCAGGACCCCCACCCCCCCCAAAAAAAAATAATGAGGAGGAGGAGGAGGAGGGAGGAGAAGAGGAAGGAGAAGAAATGTCTAGGTCTGATGTCTCCAACTCCAGCAGCATCACTGCATCATCACCAGGAGAGATTAATTTTTTTAAAAAAGCAATCTGGCCCTAGTTGCAAAAAAGTTTGCCCGGCGTTGCCTTAAACCATTAACGTAACGTGTGAACCCAACCAAATACAAACACCCAACGAGACCCTGCATCTGCACCCCAACTTTTAAATTCATTTTTAGCAGCCATTTCCATCACCCTGATAGCAGGGACCTCCTGCAGCTTCTACTCCCCGCCGGCTGTGCGCCCTCAGCACGGTATTTCCCCCACCATCTCCCTCCAGCTTTCGGCGCCACAGGGCGCATGCGCAGCCGCTCGAGCTCCCTCCTTCCCGCCGCCGATTCTCCGCCCCCTTCGCCTGTCAAGATGTGTTCGGCTACGTCTCCTGACGTAGCGGACCCGGCCTCGGCGTGACGGGGACGAGCTGGCTCGGTCATGGCCCAGCCCGGGGAGACCCCGGCTTCGGAGCCGACGGAGGGTGAGGAAAGGAAGGCCGGGTTGGGGGTGGGGGAGCCGGCGCCGGCCTGAGGCGCGGCCTGCTAATTCTGCCTCGACCTGGGTGCAAAGGGGGGCGTGGGAAGCGGGGAGGAATGCAGGCCGCAGAGGGAGCGAAGGAAGGAAGGAAGGAAAAGAGGAGTGGGGTGGTGGACATGGAAGGCGCGGAGCCCCTCGCTCCCCACAGGCGCTTCTTCCCTTCCCCGCGCCCGTCCTGAATCCAACCCTCCGTTTTTTCTACCTTCAACGTCGCTCTCCTCGCCCGCATCCTTTCGAAGCCCCCCTTCCCCTCGCCTCGCCATTTCACTCCCTCTCCGCTGCTTTCCTACCCAGCCCCTCGTCCTCCTGCCCCCCCTCCCTTCTTCTCCTTGGCCCAGCGGCGTCCCAGCGCCTTGGGCACCATCACTTTTCGCGGCGGCTTGTCGTCTCTGTCCCCGTCGCAGCCCACCTCTCTCCCCTCCTCCCACCCACTTCTCGAGCGACTCCTTGATTTCTTTCCTTCCATTCTCCCAAACACCTGATCCTTCTCCCTCCCTCCTTCCTGCACGCGAGTTTTCTCCCTTCTTATCTTTGTCACCAGTCTTAACCCCAAACTATTTTATTCCTTGCTCAATCTCTCTCCTGCTAACCCCTGTTTTAGCTTTCCCCAGCTTAATGTTATACTGCAAGAAGAGTTCTTTGTGGTTCAGGTTGTTGCGTGAACCCAGTCAGATTTAACAGATAATCAGAGTTGGAAGGGACCTTGTAGGTCATCTAGTCCAACCCACCCCCAGCCGCCCAAGCAGGAGACCCTACACCATTTCTGACAGATGGCAATCCAATCTCTTCTTGAAAGTCTCAAGAAGAAGTGGTGCTCCCACAACTTCTGAGGGCAACTTCTGTTCCATTGGTTGATTGTTCTCATTGTCAGAAAGTTTCTCCTTATTTCCAGGTTAAATCTCTCCTTGTTCAGTTTCCATCCATTATTCCTTGTCTGGCGTACAAGAGCTTTGGAAAATAGCTTGACCCTTTCCTCCTTGTGATAGCCCCTCAAATATTGGAAGACTGCTATCATGTCTCCCCTGGTCCTTCTCTTTACTAGATTTAGCCATGCCCAGTTCCTGCCAACGTTCATTGTATGTTTTAGCCTCCAGTCCCCTAATCATCCTGGTTGCTCTTTTCTGCACTTTTTCTAGAGTCTCAACTTCTTTTTTATAATGTGGTGACCAAAACTGGATGCAGTACTCTAGGTGTGGTCTTACTAAGGTTTTATAGAGTGGTATTAGTACTTCCCTTGATCTTGATCAGTCAACCCATTTATTGTTCAGAAACCGAGTTAACTTAGTGGCCAGGTTATAAATTCAGCCACAAGGTGTTCCTCTCCCCACCCTTAGATGTTTTCATTGCAAAGCAAGATTTGTCCCAGTTGTTACCTTTTCTGCTTATAGCTTCCCACTCATTCTCAGAGCCCCTCAACATTTACTGTTCTAAACTTTAGTGGTCTTTTTTTCACCTGTGATCCTCCTTCATGTCTATGCAACCACTTACTTTAACTGTCACCTAAACAGTTTTTGGATTACTGTTCTCTCTTCTCCACAACAACCACTTCCTGCGTCCTTGAGGTGTTAAATAGTAATACTAAGTGTGATATCAGCTGTGGTAAGGTTGAGACTAGCAGGAGCATGGATTAATGTTGTTAACAAGTTTATACAGGCTATCTAGATAAAATAATCCCAATAGGTATTAACTATGTTTAATCACCAGACAGACAGAAATATGATGGTTATGGCATTAGTCTAAAAATGGAGAGACTGAGATTCAGGTTTTCCCTCTCCCATGGAAACTGACTTCCAGATTGTAGACTAGTCACTGTTTCATTCCAATGAATCTCACAGGTTTGTGGTTGTGGAAACAAATTGAAGGAGAAATACTATGTAAATTGCCTTGATATTCTAGTGAAAAGGCAGATTTATATCTAATGTAAATAAAAAAATAACTAATTTTATTAATTTTCTAGAGCTGATTCCTCAAGTTTGTGGACCAGTTGCTCCTTGAACTTTTTTTCCTTCTGCTGTATAGGCAGGTTTGGTTCCCTTTTTTTAAATCAGCATTTTTCCACTATGCTTGCACACTTTTTTTAAATAAACAGTTTATAGTTGACTTGGAAAATATGGCAGTATTAATGAAGATACATTATGGGTGATGTTTCTTAGAAAATAACAAATGTAATAAATAGGGGAAGTATGTATAAAATTGTATGTAAGAAGGAGGGGAGCTACTCCTAGTACATGTACATGTACAACTACCATTGGTAGAGGTGTCAATTTTGCAAATTGGTGTGACAGTTATACAGAAACATGCTACTGTAATTGAATGTGTGAAATAACAGATTTTATTGGTTGCAATTGTAAACCACGAGGATAGTTACAGAAAAGTTGTTTTAATGCTACATAATCTTGTAAAGTTAATAATAATAATGAATCAATAAAATAGTTATAGCACTTAGACTGATATACCACTTCACAGTGCTTTATAGCCTCTCTAAGCAATTTATAGAGTCAGCATATTGCCCCAACAATTTGGGTCCTCATTTTATTGACCTCGGAAGGATGGAAGGCTGAGTCAACCTTGAGCTGGTGAGAAATGAACTGCCAAACTGTAACCGGCAGTCAGCAGAAGTCACCTGCAGTACTGCATTCTAACCATTGTATTACCGCAGCTCACATGCTTGATTTGCTGTGGGAAGACTTATGAATCTCTGTTATTGTTACAATTATTTCTTTGATAGAAGCAATTCTCCAGGAGAATACACATTTCTACAAAAACTGTATGTGGTAGATGCCATAATATCATATCTTCTTCCCAATCCTAAGGGCCCAATTTGGATGGAAGGCTGAGTCAACCTGGAGCTGAGGATAAAACTAAAAGTAAATTGTAAAATCATCTATTTAGATAAAAATATTCAATTAATATTTGGTACCCAGTCAAAATTCAGAGAAAGTAATAAATTAGACTTTTGAAAGAACAGAATTCCAAAAGTTATTGGCTAGGTTTTTTGCATTTGTGTGTTGTTAATCTTTTCCACTACGTGGTAACGTCCATGCAGTTTTCTTGGCAACTTTTTAAAAAGTGGTTGCCATTGTCACCATTTGCAGACTGAGAGAGAGTGACTGGCCCAAAACCATCCAGTTGGCTATTATCTAAGGACTAGAATTCAGACTCTCAATTTCCATGCTGGTGCCTTTAACCACTACAACCAAACTAGTTTTCAGCTAGGTTCATACACTGCATTATACTATGATGCAGTTTGCTTGTGGCATTTTATATCATCTTAATCCAACTAAATATAAATCATAGTTAACACAGTTTATGGCTTAGTGGTGTATTGATCAAAATCAGTAGGCAGAATTTATTTTTCTGCAGTTAAAGGTGTAATGAATAAGGTTTTATCTCTAGGATATAGTTTTGGGATATGGGGAGAAGTTAACGTGTTAAAGCAATTTTCCGATGCCTTAGATTTAAAAATGCTTTAAATGTTCTTATGAAGTGACTTTATAATCATATATGCATGATGTTGGCTTTTTATAGGTAGCTATATTACATTATTTCTCCACTCTGGACATGAATCCAAATACTGTATATTGGAAAGCTTCTAGCTTTTTATAGTCTTCAGAGGCATTTTTATGGTTGAGTGCATAACTTTAATTCTACTGAGTAGTTACCATAGTACACTAGGTAGCAGATCTTCCCCCAGAGAAATGTATGAGTGATAAATGTTGCAAAACTGGACACAGACAGTCATGGCCAGTGCATCTACCTGAAAATAAATTACAATATATAAGTGTGCATTCTGTGACTGTTAAAACTCTTCATGTGAATAAAGAAATGATTAATGTCAAGAGATGAATGAAGTCATTTCAGCCAGGAATGGACCAGATCCTGCTTTTGTTACATGGAGGAAACGGAATGCAAAAATGCTTCTCTGAAAATCCATACAAGTTTGTACCATGTAAACAAATATATTAAAGTTCAGGAAGTATCAAAAGAAGAGTTACTTTCCCTTAAAACTATTTTTATATCTGTGCTGGTCATAGAGGAGAATTTTACCTTTTTGGTAACTGGGTTTCTTCAATACTAAAGAAATAGATTTAGTATTAAATCTATAATGTATATTTCATTTTGGTTTGACCTATTGGGCAAACTCAGTTTTTTCTATATGGAAACCATAGGTTTGGGCCATGATATATATGGCTACCCAGTTGTGGTTTATTCAAGAAATTATGGTTATAATGTAAGAGTGCAACTGTTAAAGGTGTTGATGCATTGAAAATGAAAAACATAATCTTGTGATTATGTGGTTCCATCCTACGTCTTAAGGGAATTCAGACACTCCAATTTGCTATAATGTCAGTTTTTAAATTACTGTTATATGAATCATTTCTGGTTTTTCATCTGTGAAATTGGATGATCATCTCTTCCATTATGGAATAATACTATAGTAGAAAAGAGGTGGAGTGTATAGATTGTAGTTTATTTGTATTGTGCAGACTTTGAAAACTTGTTGAGAATTGCATAGGTATGGCAAAAACAGTTAACTGAAATAGTACAGAGATTTGTTTGGAAATAGACAGTTACTTCTTTTGCAAAAATTGAGTACAGGAGGGAAAGAGTTTCTGTCCATAGTAAAATGATCTAATAACGTGCTTTAAGATCAAATGAGATATTGAAGTTTGGGAGATAATGATGGCAACTTCTGAAATATTTTTTAAAGTTGATAATATTGAGTATATAATAGAAGACTTAATAACTTCAGATTCACTGTTAACTTATTTTATAGGATAAGATATTTTTTGTCTGCCCAGTGGTCTCCAGAGCTATGAAGATTTAAAAAAACTTGCCAGAAAAATGCAGCAAATACAGTAGTATAATTATCAGATAGGTTCTGCACTTATTCAATGTTATCTTCTATCCTATCTAAAGAACAGCAACCGTATGCTTCCTTTT